TAATCTACAGCTTCTTCTTACCTCAGTTTCAACCAGTGGAACATTCTCCTTCCTCTTTTTCTGTTGTTGTGGAGGGCAGAAGTAGAAGATGCTGAGATGTGCTTAGTGCTGTAGTGCTTTGAAGGAGAGAGGTTCTCTACCCCTTGAGAGTCCTGGGTATGTGAAGCAAGAATGCAGGCAAGTTAGTTTTCACTAGGACATTGATCTGGGATAGCAAAAGGTAGGTGAGATTGACAAGTGGGTGATTTCTGAATGATATCCCACACATTGGAAGAGATGAATTTAGTGGCCCATTGAAATTTATCAGGTGACAGAAGTATAACAGATAAGAAGTTGATCCATTCTGTAGGTACCTGAATAACTTTGGTGCTGGAAGGAGAGGGAGCAAAGTGTTTCTTCCAAATGTGAGCACCTTCTTTACCCAACAAGGCTTCTTCATCCAGTTGAATAGGTTGGTTGACCTCTTCCTCAAGATTATGAACCACCTCATCAATCTGTAAACCTAGGCAAGTAGTGTGCATTTGATTAGCATAGATGGGCATGGAAAAACCAGGAGGAGCAGTCATGTCTGAGAGAGGCAGATCACCAGCAGTATCTTGGGCTATGTTAACATCCTTGGCAGGAGGCACAACCTGCTCAGTCAATTCCTACTGAGGGAAGAAAACTTTCTCCAGTGTGATCCCATTAACATCAAGAGGATTAGTCTCAGAAGGCATCTTGTTTACTGTTTCCTTTGGAGCAATGAGAAGATCATGGCAGCCAGCAGAGAGAAATTCATTTAGCATAGGGTCATCCCAAGTGTTTCTATGAGAGGAGTTACACTGGGGGATAATGGCTTCCAGTAGTGGATCAGGAACCAACTGATGGGCCCGAGGAGTTGCTGGTACAGGTGGGTGGGCCTCATGAACAGGCTCCAGGGCTGTCATATCAATATGTTGGGCTGGTGCTTCCAAGACTTGTTGATGGACCAGAGGAGCAGGCTCTGGCCCATATGGATAAGCTGCCATGTTCAAATCGGGAATCTATTGCTCCATTGGCGCCATAGGTCCATTGGCAGAGGCACCAGTGCTATGACTGTGGTCAGATGGAACCAAAGAAGCTGTAATGCTGCTATGTGCCACAAAGGGAAAGTATCTCCCTCCTGATTGTCTGTATCTCTCCTTGTAGCAAAAGAAGGAAAGTATCTCTCTGTCGATTGCATGTATCTCATACTTTTCTTGAGTAACTGATTTACTTGCCACTAACAAATAAATTTACCAAGGGTAATTTTGTCCAAACATGTCTATAATTATATGCCTTGGTCACCGTGCTGAAAATAATACACCTTACCTAAAGGAACGGAGGGAGTATATACCATTTTTGTTACTGATTATGAATGAACCCCCTACCAGCTTTGTGTTAAAGAGTTTCAATATTATTTCTTTGTAGTTATCAAGTAGGTTGTTTGTATAGTCAATGGTAGATAGATTTTCATGGCAACATTTTTGTTCAAAATTACCCTTCATCTTCAGACTAGATTCCGATGTGCATATTTTGTTTGCAGGAAATAAATTGAGGTCTTGGATAAAAGTTAACATGATAGCTTGTGTTCTTTTCTACATGAAATAGAAAAAAAGGTGCGGTTTTGTGGTAATTGCTTGCTCTGAGTTACAATCTTCATTGGACAGTATAGAATTTTTGTACTACCCTCTTCTCTGGGTAGTTATGCATCAAGTTTTTTTATTGTTGATCTCCTTTTGCATGCATATTTTCTCCACTTGGTCTTGGCGCAATATCATAACTATATATTCATACCAATTGTTGCGCATGGCTGGTCAAACTAGAAGTTTGTAGTTATATTTCTTGCCACTATACACAATGGCACAATTTTATTGTATGTTTAAGAATTTTGAAAAATAAATTTATAGGTTATATGTGACTAACATTTCTAAAAATATAGTAAGTCCATGCTATTGAGTCTTCATTGTCACTGTTTGCTTCACAAAACTGTTGTAACCATACAAACAAAGGCCATCATGGGGTACATATAACATGGTTTTCTATTTTGTTAATTGTTTTTCGACTCTCTACTTCTAATATATGCGATAATTTGAGATGAACCCAACTCTCTCCTTTTTGGCTTAAGAAAATTATCCGCCTTTCTTAGAAAAATTGTTTTGAGTAAACATTATTTATCATAGGCACATTTCGACTATTAAATCAATTCCGTAGTCAGCACCGAATTGTTTATTCTATGGAATGTGCCAGTGCCACAATCTTGACAAAAGCTACAAAGAGATCATCTTGAAAATTGATTGCATAGAGTATGAGATATCACCCTGAATTTATTTCTCACGGGACATTTGGTGTCCTTTTCATTATCCTTATTCGGGGCACATATAAGTTATCTATAATCTAAGGGGATGACGAACCTTTGAAAACTGTCAAAGTTTGACAAGCCCCTTAATATTTTGATGCAAGTGGATGTGCGGGGAAGAAAACAAGGGGAAGTATTGTGGGAGGAAGGAAGCGGAGTATCACGTGGTGGCTGAGAAGAGGGAGGGGGCCTGAAGATGACGAGGATATGCATTTATCTACCACATCACGAGCATGTAAGCCTGTGAATAGTTTGGGTTGGAACCAAAGTTTTAGTTTGGTTTTCTAGTAGGTTGTCTTTGGATTGGTTTAAATGGTCCGAAGCTCTAATATAATCTGGTCTAGTTTGGGCTTTAACATTTATTGGACTGGATTGGATCGGTCTGGACACAGACCAATCGGTCTTAAATCGTTTCAATCTCTAATCTCACGAACAAACCGGTGACCCTCTC